GGCGGGCCGTGTGTGTCGTGTGTCACCTGTCCCGCGAGCACCGCGCCCACACTGTGCTGCCCGCCGAGGAGGCGGCCCACGCCGCGGAGGTCAGTGCCGGGACCCCGCCCGCCCCCACGCACAGCGCCTGGCTCGGAGGGAGGACGGCGAGGACTCCCCTCCCGAGAGGGCGGCGGGGCATCGGGACCCCTTTCCCCCGGATAAGGAGAGCAGTGCGAACCCCCTCGGGGTGTTAGGGGGCAGTGAAAACCCCGCCCCTTCCCGGGTCTTTTTCGGGGTGCGGGGCACCCCCTCAGAAATGGGGGATGCAGTAAGCGGGGAGAAGATCGGAAACACCCCACCCCTGATTGGCAATGCCCAAGGAGATCTCACGGGGTGGGGGTGCGCCAGGGACTTCCTCTCCATGGGGGGAAGCGCCCTTCGGGTGCAGCGGCAACCTCTAGTTCCACAGGGGAGTACAGAAATGAGCCCGCAGTCTCCCCCCCCAACGTGCGCGGTGCAGTAAGGGTCCCTCCAGGCTCTGGATCTTCGCGGGGGATCTCCTCCCCAGCTGGGCGCTGTTCCCAGGATTCGGAGCGTATAAGGACTTGAATCATCCCAAGACAAGGACAGCCCGGGGTAGGATGCAGTAAGCGGGAGGTGTTCCCGGTGCGAGGTCGAACTGGGAGAATACTGGGAAAAGGGTGTCCTGGCGTGCGGGGGTGATCGTGCGAAATCCCTCCAGCCCCCGAAACGCACCGCTCCCCCTTCCCGGGGCAGGTCCGAGCTGGAGCCTGGGAACGCAGGGGCGGGCGGTTATTTATCCCACCGGCCCGATCCCGATACAGGCTGGAAGTGGAGCAGGACTCCTCCAGGAGCCGCCTGTCCCCCCCCGCCCCACAACCCGAGGGTGCTTGAGGAGTGACGCAGAGCGAAAACGGCACCCTCCCGGCGGCGCTGGGGCTCCCCTATGTCGCGATATGGGACGTGTCGTGATCACTGTGGGGATTAATTCGTAATTAAAAGCGCAAGGGCTTGATGTGGGTGGCCAGGCCTCGCTATTCCAGGCCGGGAGCAGCGGATTCAGAGGGATCCAAGATGCCGGACGGAGCCGATGTCGCTGCGCAGTGGCAGCAGGAGGGTGGCACCAGCACGATCCCGAGGGATCAAGGAAGGGGATTGTGGGATCATTAACCACCACACAGTAGTTGTTGTGGTTATTAAAATCTTTTAGAGAGGATTTTGTCCCGGAACTGCTGTGATTCCTCTTCCGGGGACGCTGGGGCTGTCCCCACGCCCCAAATCTGGGATTTTGCCCTTTTTTTCAGGACCCAAACGTCCTTAGGCAGAACCAGGTTATCGCTCCCTTGGGATTTTTCCCCCTTCTTTAACCTACTTTTATGAATTTTTAATAATTGGTTGTTGCTGAGCTCTTCTCTTTATTTTTCCTGGTAATTGCTATAATCTCATGGATAAATTCCAAAGGCAGCAACTTCCGGCTCTTAACAGTCAAAATCCTTGTATTTTGGGCTTTAGTTATAAAATAAGTGGATTTATTTTCCCCCAAGGCCAGCTGGTGTTTGCAGAGTATTGCTGGGACTTCTCTGTCCTCCATGGAGGTCAAACTACTTAAATAAGGATTAGTTTAATTAATTATTCACTAATTATTAATTTAATGAGCAGTTTGGAGGCAGCAGTTCCTTCTCTTGGGGGGGTGCCTCCAGCCCAATTTTGGGGCACCTTGAGGAGGGGGAATGTGGGAAGTGATCCTGGGAGATGTGGGACCAGGGCATTTGTTTCCTCATGGGCAGACAAAATTAATTTACTTTTTTTTTCAGTTTTGGGTTGGTTGGGGTGAATTGTGTTTTTGGCACAGCCTGAGGTCAGGGTTGAGGGGAGCAGGGCAGCTGCTGGCTCCAGCTCAAAAAAAAAAAAAATAAATCCCAGATTGGGTGAGTTTGGCCATTTCAGCTTCCCTCCTGGTCACCCATGGGAAGAATTCCCAACGGATCTCATTGTTCTGCTTTCCAGGAGGTGCCCCAGGAGCACTTGAGCTCCCTGAGGAAAGGGCGTGAAGAGGCCAAGGCCGAGCGGGAGCGGCAGAGTGAGGAGCTGCTGGTGAGTGCTGGGGGTCCCAGAGTTCCCATCCTGGAGGGTTCAGTCTCACCTGGGGATTTCCTAGCTGTGGGAATTTGGTCCCACCTGGGGGGTTCCTCCTCCCCATGGGAATCCCAGCCCCCAGAGATTCTCTCACTTTGGGGTGATTCCCTGAGCTCTATGGCTGCAGGGATTTGCCCTCCACAGGGGTCTTTCCTTTGGAATTGCAGAAGCAGACGGAGGTGGAGCGGCAGAAGATCGTGGCTGAGTGCAAGGAGCTGCGGGCTTTCCTGGAGGAGAAGGAGCAGCTCCTGCTCTCCCGGCTGGAAGAGCTGGAGAGGGACATTGGGCGGCGGAGGGACGAGAGCGTGGCCCGACTGGCTGAGGACATTGCCCAGCTGGACAAGCTCCTGGCAGAGCAGGGCGGGGACAGTGGGACAGGGAACACACCTGGCGAGGTGGGACTCTGTTATGTGTCTCTATGGAAAAAAATCCCACTTATGGATACAGAAATCCCTTATATTGGGCAAAAATATCCTAATTACAGGGACAAATCCTATTTATGGGATGAAAATCCCATTTATGGGGACAAAAAAGTCTTTTTTATTGGGTGAAAAAAGTGAAGAAGCCTCTATTTGTGGGTCAAAATATTTCCATTTAGTTGGGAAAAAAATCCTTTAATAGGTGAGAAATTCCATTTATGGAAACAAAAATGTCTTTATGGTGGGACAAGTCTCTTCATGGGATCCTTCCAGTTTTTGGGTAGGATTTTGGGATCTCTGAGATAGGAGAGATGCTGATCCTAACAAATTCCTTGGGTTTTCTTCCCCTTCCAGGGTGTCGTCCCAGCTGGCAGCAGGTGAGTGAACTTGGGAGCCTCTGGCTGCGGGCCAGAGCTGGTATTTCAACTCTTCCCAGTGGGAGTTCCCTGGTATTGAGTCCCTGACTCCCATGTCTCCGCAGCCTGGAAAGCTGGATGTTCCTCAAGCCCGAGCCTGGCTTTTCCGAGCTGGAGAAGAAGCTGAAGAGCTTTTCCCAGAAGAGTGCGGTGCTCAAGGAAGTGCTGCTGGAATTCAAGGGTGAGCCTGACAAGATCCTTCCTGGAAAAAAACACTGCTTCCCAGCCAGGATCCCACACGGAAGTCCACCAAAATCAGGGCTGGGATGGAGCCTGGGTCTTACTCCACCCCTGGGCTGGTTGGAAGAGTTGTAGTTTGTTTGAGCATTGGCTCATCCCAGGGAAAAGGTGGAAAAGTAATGATTTCCCTGGGATTTGAGTGTGGAAGTGTGGAGTAGGAATCATTCTTGATGGCTTGGGCAGTTCTGGGGGTTTCAAGGGCTCAATTCCTTCCTTCTCTTCCCGCAGAAAACCTGCGCTTTGAGCTGGAGAATGACACAGGTGAGGCCATCAGGATTGGGGTAAGACCTCCCTTTTCCAGGGGTTTGCTTGGAACTGGCTGGGATTTGGGGCTGTGACTTCGCTTTTCCAAGAGATAATGTGGGAATTTGCCAGGATTGGGGGTTATGTGGGCTCTAAGCTTCCTTTTCCGAGGGTTAAGGTTGGAATTGCTTGGCTTGGGTTCTTTGTGGACTCTTCAAGATGCTACAGGTGGCTCGCCTGGGTCCTTTCTCTCTGGTTTGGGATACAGACAATAGATCAATCCCCATAGAGGCGGGATAACGATCCAAGAGGTGACTCACCTGTGTTGTCCCTGTTGGGTTTGGGACACAGCCACTGAGTCCAACCTGCCAATACCACAATACCTCTCCCCTTTTCCCCTCCAGGCGAGCTCTCCCTGGATCCCGACACAGCCAACCCCTACCTGGTGCTGTCAGAGGACAAGCGGAGCGTGCGGCTCCGTGGGGCCCCTCAGGAGCTGCCGGCTCATCCCAAACGCTTCGACTACGCCTTCTGCGTCCTGGCCTCCGAGGGCTTCTCTGCTGGCCGCCACTACTGGGAAGTGGAGGTGGGAGACGGGGAGAGCTGGGTGCTGGGTGCTGCCCGCGAGTCCGTGCGCCGCAAGGAGAAGGTCGACTTCGCCCCCGAGGAGGGGATTTGGGCGGTGGGGCTCAACTGGAAGGGCAAAAATTGGGATCAGTACCAGGCGTTCACCTCTCCTGAGACACCGCTGTCCCTTTGTGAGCGGCCACGCAAGATCGGGGTGTACCTGGACTATGAGGGCGGGTGGGTGGCATTTTACAACGCTGACAACATGGCTCCCATCTTCACCTTCACCGCCGCCTTCTCCGAGAGGATCTTCCCGTTTTTCTGGCTCTTCTATGTGGGCTCCTCGCTGTCCCTCTGCAACTGAGCCCACCCTGCTCACTGGTGTCCCTTGTCCCCTGCCATCCTTAGGTTTTCCTTTGCTTCCAAGCAAAACGCCCCAAATCCTGCCCTTGGCCATTCAGGGGGGATTTTTTTCCTGTTGAAGTTCAAAGTTTGGAGTGTTTTTACCCTCAAAATCTTCCTCAAGGGCGTTGTTTGGTGAGGGGGGCTACTTGGCCACCCCCTCCTTGTTGCTGGTTAAACACCCCTGTAGTTCATTTTCTATTTTTCTTTGGAGCTGGAGCCCCATGGAGCAGGGAGAGGCTGATCCCATCCTACTTCGAATAGTAGCCAAAGCTTTGTGTCCCACCTCCCCCCTAAAATGCTGTGTGGAGAGGAGGGGTGTCGTTCCCCCCCCCCCGCCAATTTGGACACCATTGGTTTCCAAGTCATCCCATCCCATCTCCTTCCCTCCCCCCTGGGGAAAGGGCAGAGCCTGTCCTACTGTCACTGAGTGACCCCACCTATATTCCCTATTGCCCCCCATTTCGCTCTCCTCGTACCCCCATCACCTCCAATTTCCCTCCTAGCCCCCCATCCCCCATTGCCTCCCCGTCAACTCCACATGTCCCTCTTTGCCTCCTCATCTCCCCCACTTCCCCCTGCATTTTGTTCCCCTAAATTCTGAGCCCCTGGAGCCCTGGGATCCCAGCAAGGGGATGTGGATATTTGGGATCACCCCAAACTCGGGCTGG